GGGAAGAACCTCCTTCCGTCGGGCAGGTGTCCATCTCGTCGGGCAGAACCTCCCCCCGTCGAGCAGGTGCCCATCTCGTCGGGCAGAACCTCCTTCCGTCGGGAAGGTGCCCATCTCGTCGGGCAGAACCTCCCCCTGTCGAGCAGGTGCCCATCTCGTCGGGCAGAACCTCCTCCCGTTAGGCAGGTGCCCATCCCGTCGGGCAGAACCTCCTCCCGTCGGGCAGGTGCCCATCTCGTCGGGCAGAACCTCCTCCCGTCGGGCAGGTGCCCATCTCGTCGGGCAGCACAACGTGCCTTCCACACGTTCTCCGTGTGCTCCCCTCCGTGGGGACACATCATCCACCAACTGCCCATCTCCGAAAGAGCAGGTCAAACCCACTTTCCGGAGATCACGGAGCAGTTGGACTAGGGCGAATACCACATTTCGGTCTTCACTATGCCACGTAAGCCCTAACAGTCATTTGGATTGGGCCTGGCCATCCAGCCCAACTCAAATGACCGTTGGCCCAACGCTGGGGTCTCTCTATAAATACCCTCTTCCCCAAGAGGGCCAAGTATTCCATTCTTCTACCACTTTCTGTATTTGTGGTCACTCTGCCCAACTTCTCACTTTGGCATCGGAGTGCCTTTCAGGTACACCCCTTCTCCTCATCATCATCGGTGAACAGTAAGCAGTCCAACGGAGCGTGGCCATCTAGTGACCCCCTTCTGATCAGGTCAGATCAGTGGCGCCGTCTATGGGAATCGAAGCTCCCCCGTTCCTCCGAGCAGAGAACGAAAGCTTCATCTCTCAAAACTTTAGGATCATGAGTGCCCTCCGCCATGACAACGCTGTTCACAACTGTCCTCCCTTCGTAGAGCAGAAGGCTCCGATGGGCAGGACCCTGGCTGCCCGTCAGCCAGTCTTTGTCCTCCTTTCGTCGAGCAGAAGACTCTGATGGGCAGGACCCTGGCTGCCCCCCAGCCAATCTTTATCCTCTCCTTGGTCGAGCAGAAGACTCTGATGGGCAGGACCCTGGCTGCCCACCAGCCAGTCTTTGTCCTCCTTTCGTCGAGCAGAAGACTCCGATGGGCAGGACCCTGGCTGCCCGCCAGCCAGTCTTTGTCCTCCTTTCGTCGAGCAGAAGACTCTGATGGGCAGGACCCTGGCTGCCCACCAGCCAGTCTTTATCCTCTCCTTTGTCGAGCAGAAGACTCCGATGGGCAGGACCCTGGCTGCCCGCCAGCCAGTCTTTGTCCTCCTTTCATCGAGCAGAAGACTCTGATGGGCAGGACCCTGGCTGCCCGCCAGCCAGTCTTTGTCCTCCTTTCGTCGAGCAGAAGACTCTTATGGGCAGGACCCTGGCTGCCCACCAGCCAGTCTTTATCCTCTCCTTTGTCAAGCAGAAGACTCTGATGGGCAGGACCCTGGCTGCCCACCAGCCAGTCTTTGTCCTCCTTTCGTCGAGCAGAAGACTCCGATGGGCAGGACCCTGGCTGACCAACCAGCCAGTCTTTGTCCTTCTTCTGTCAAGCAGAAGACTCCGATGGACAGGAACCTGGCTGCCCACCAGCCAGTCTTTGTCCTCTCTTTCGTCGGGCAGAAGACTCTGCCGGGCAGGACCCTGGCTGCCATCCAGCCTTGTCCTCCCTTCGAAAACCTACTACCTCGAAAACTTACACGGGGACCATATAGCTCGACCATAGAACGCTGAGAAGCTATAAAAAATACTATAGTTAAACACTACCCTCGAGGACCACCTCGCGACCACAGGAGCGCGACAAGGTACGACCGCGTCTCCTCGGATTTAACGAGATAGCAAACGCGTGCCCTTGTGTGTGCGGGCAGAGCGTTCTGCTCGACGGCAACCCTCTCGACCGAGAGTCGCCGCTGCAGTACCAGATCGGCAGAACACCCAGCTCGCGATGGGCCGTTCACGCCAGGGGGACGAGTCCACAACCGTGGTCCGACCCCTTCTTCCGACCAGGTACCAACTCCGGTCAACCGGTCAGTTCCCTACACTACCGGTCAACAAAGTCGAGCTACACCCCCTACTTAGCAATTTTAACATCAAAGCATAACAATCATGCACGCACACAAAACATAGAAAGGAAAACAAGAATTCCATAAAAGGGGCACAAGCCCAGAAGTCAAAACGCTATAATAAACGGGCACGACCCCGAATGTCGAGCAGAAATGATCGAAGGTGTCGAGCAGAAATTTTTTGGATGTTGAGCGACTGCAATTTCGCCCTGCCCAGATGATCGATACGATTGACGCCATTCTCGCATCCTGCCCGACATATCAGCGCGCCCGACGATATTCTCTACTTAAGTCATAGCTCTCCTGACAGCGAACTATGACTTGGGGGGCTCCTGTTCTGGACTGGGCCGAGGCTTAGCCCACAATCGAGAAGGCCCAAGTCCCACTGAGGTTGGGCCCAATTGGACCACACTGATGAGCAGGGCAGGTGCCCATCCTGTCGGGCAGAACCTCCTCCCGTCGGGCAGGTGCCCATCCCGTTGGGCAGAACCTCCCCTCGTCGAGCAGGTGCCCATCTCGTCGGGCAGAACCTCCCCCCGTCGGGCAGGTGCCCATCTCGTCGGGCAGAACCTCCCCCCGTTAGGCAGGTTCCCATCTCGTCGAGCAGAACCTCCTCCCGTTAGGCAGGTGCCCATCCCGTCGGGCAGAACCTCCTCCCGTCGGGCAGGTGCCCATCTTGTCGGGCAGCACAACGTGCCTTCCACACGTTCTCCGCGTGCTCCCCTCCGTGGGGACACGTCATCCACCAACTGCCCATCTCCGAAAGAGCAGGTCAAACCCACTTTCCGGAGATCACAGAGCAGTTGGACTAGGGCAAAGACCACATTTCGGTCTTCACTACGCCACGTAAGCCCTAGCAGTCATTTGGATTGGGCCTGGCCATCCAGCCCAACTCAAATGATCGTTGGCCCAACGCTGGGGTCTCTCTATAAATACCCTTTTCCCCAATAGGGCCAGGTATTCCATTCTTCTACCACTTTCTGTATTTGCGGTCACTCTGTCCAACTTCTCACTTTGGCATCGGAGTGCCTTGCAAGTACACCCCTTCTCCTCCTCATCATCGGTGAACAGGAAGCAGTCCAACGGAGCATGGCCATCCAGTGATCCCCTTCTGATCAGGTCAGATCAGATATCAATCTCAAAGAAAAAACGGGGGATATGGTGAAATTGGTAGACGCTACGGACTTAATTGGATTGAGCCTTGGTATGGAAACTTACCAAGTGAAAACTTTCAAATTCAGCGAAACTCTGGAATTCAAAATGGGCAATCCTGAGCCAAATCCTTCTTTCCGAAAACAAATAAAAGTTCAAAAAGTGAAAATAAAAAAAAGGATAGGTGCAGAGACTCAATGAAAGTTGTTCTAACAAATGGAGTTGACAATATTAAATTGATTAATGAAGATTTCTAACTTCTATTTGTAAATATTTGGATTCTATCACAATTGAAACATTCGAATCAAATCAATTACAACTGGAAGAAAAATCACTGAATATTCTATTCATTGCTCAAATCAGTCACTCCAACATAATCTGATGGATCAGTTGAATAACTTATTAATCATACGAGAATAAAGATAGAGTCCCATTCTACATGTCAATACCAACATCAATGAAATTTTGAGTAAGAGGAAAATCCGTCGACTTTAAAAATCGTGAGGGTTCAAGTCCCTCTATCCCAAAAAAAAACTACCCTCCTATATTATGGCCCTTTTTGGATTTACTTGACATAGACTCAAGTAATTTCTTAGATTTCGGATGGTGCGTCAAGAATGGTCGGGATAGCTCAGACGGTAGAGCAGAGGACTGAAAATCCTCGTGTCACCAGTTCAAATCTGGTTCCCGGCAACTCATTATGTATGAGTATCTATTCCCATATTTCTTTTGAAAAATGGGAATAAATACATATTTATTAGTGATCTTAATCATCCTACATAATTTATGTAGGCGTACAACGATATGCTCTTTCTAGATGAAGAATGAATGGATGTATATTCTAGGGATCAAAAGGAAGTATGAAAATGAATGATTCAAGTTTGTTTTGATTTTTTCTGTGCTGCAATAACAATTATTAATATTTCAATTGAAACAATATTCAAATGCTTCAATTAGTTGGTTGAAACACCAAGCAGAACTTTTTCAGTTCATCCTATTGGCTCGTCCGAAATCAGTATTACTCCATCCCATTTTTGAATCTCAATGAATCCCTATTATAATAAGAGAGGAATGAAACCTTTATTATTCTGACTAATCGATAAGTCAATGGACATGCAGATATTTCTTTCTTTAATATCTGGGGTTGTTGAAGTTAAGATTACTTTCTTATTTTTCGCATTTAGTGAGCATCTTGTATTTCATAAAAATTAGGGGCGATATAATCTTTACGCAAATGCCATCCTATCTAACTTTCGGGCATTAAAATACGTTTCAGACGCAGATGATTATCATAATAGATTCCTAACATATCATAAGATTCCCTTTCTTGAAAATCTGCACTTTTCCAAACCCAGAAAATAGAAGGAATTCTCGGATTTTGCCTTGGGGTAAATACTCTTATGCATACCTCTTTGGGTTGATCTAGACTATACTCTATTCTCGTAAGATGATAGACACTCGCTAATAGTCCTCCTGGTGCTACATCATAGGCACATTGAGAACGTAGATAATTGTAACCATATACATATAAAATAACAGCAATCGAATCCCAATCCTCGGGCTTTATTTGTAAAGTCTCTATTCCTTGGTAATCAAAACCCAAAGATCTATGAACTATTCCGTGTTTGACTAGCCAAGCAGACAAATTACCTTGCATTTTTTTATTTCTCCCGAGTTTTTTATAAAATTGGTATAAGTATTTACCATTTATTTCCATTACAATGAAATTTTGTCAGATTGACTTGCTTGCTATTTCTTATTGTATTTTGTACAAAAGGATCCTGTTTAATTCACTTTTCGTTCGTCGGAGGATACTTAATTTTTTAATATTTCCAAAATGTGTCAAAGGTTATCTCGGAAATAGATGATGGTTGATAGAATAATCCTTGATTAGAATTGCCGGTATGAGTACTGTCTCCAACATCAAATGTGTGGTTGGTAGTAAAACACCTATGTTGATAACTAATTGGACCTTCATGGATTTCTCGAGCTATTTTCTTACGAAGTTTTTTTATAGCATCTATAACCGCTTCCGATTTAGGTGGACAGCCCGGCAAATAGACATCCACAGGAATTAGCTTATCCACGCCCCGAACAATACTATAAGAATTGGTACTGAACATACCTCCTATAATTGTACAAGCTCCCATAGAACTAACATATTTTAGTTTGGGCATTTGCTCATATAATCGAACTAAAGAAGGAGTCATTTTCATAGTTACGGCGTCCGCTGTTAAAATGAGGTCTGCCTGCCTAGGACTAGAGCGTGGTACCAGTCCATAACGATCGAAGTCAAATCGCGATCCTATTAATGATTCAAATTCAATGAGGCAACAACTAGTACCATAGAGAAGCGTTCATAAACTAGATAGTCTTGACCAATTTGAAAGATCATTTAATGTAGTAGAAATAACTGAATTTTTGGTTTTTTGATCAAGTAAGGGAAACTCAATGGAATTCATAACTGTCTCAATGTTTTGTTTAATTGTCTAAATATTCAAGAATTAAGACCATTCTAATGCTCCCTTTTGCCATGCATAAACTAAACCAACAATTAGGATAAGAACGAAGATGAAAGCTTCTATAAATACGGATACCCTTAATACATCAAAACTCATTGCCCATGGGTAAAGAAAGATTGTTTCAACATCAAAAACAACAAAAACGAGAGCAAACATATAATAACGGATTTGAAATTGTAACCAAGCATCATCCATCGGTTCTATTCCAGATTCATAACTAGAAAGTTTTTCTGGCCCTTTCCTAATTGGAGCTAAAATTCCAGAAATTAGAAATGCCAAAATAGGAATAAAGATCGATATTATTAGAAATGTCCAAAAAATATCATATTCATAAAGAAAAAACATAAATGTACTCCTATGGATGTGGAAAATATACTTGATTCATATTAATTCTTAGTCGATTTGAATTGAAATTTCAAAATTATTAGATTCATGAACCTAAATAGAAATGCTTTGTATTTTATTAAGTTTACATTTTAAAAGTTGACATTATTTCTAGATTAGTATCTGAGTATACTAATACTAATATTTGTATATCATTAATCTATTCGAATAGAAATGAATTGATTCATTCTTTCGATTACAAAAAGCATTTCAACTATATTTATACTACTAGTATTGTAGTATGGAGTATTTAGTATTACATATACTACTACTATAGTAAATATAGTAGTATCGGTAGTACTATTAGGGCTATACGGACTCGAACCGTAGACATTCTTGGTAAAATAGATCAAACTATTATTATTATCAAAATGATTTGAATTGCTTTAAAGACCCAACGTGCATTTTTTTTTTGCATTGGGCTTTTTCATTAACTGATAGAAATATGAATTAGTCTACCATCTTTTTTCTTTACACAAAGAAAAAGGAAATGACTCCATGTGCTCTGATATCTTATTTAGATCAAAATCTAAGAGCACTACCAAAGTTTTTTAAAGAAGAAGGTTATTCTGACGTAGGTCTGCTTCTGGCCTGGATCAACTTAAGTTAAATGAACTCTCTATCAACCTACTTCAATAAAAATATCAAATAGGAAATGAAACTTCATACACCTTAAAGTTCATAAGATAGGAAGAAAAGATATTTTTTGGAGGTCCCTAGACTCATTGCCTAGCATTGAATAGATTTTAGTATTCACCTTATCAATATCTCATTATGGATTCCATCTGACGTCTAAATCCTTTGTCAGGCTATTGTTCTCTTAATTTTGTTCCTGGAGTAAGACATTGATTTATCAATTAAGATCAACTCTATTAATTACATGATGGACTCCTATGAAAAAACATTGGCGCATGTGTAAACGAGGTGCTATACCTAACTGAGCTATATCCCTTGTGCTTTTGATACAGATTTGATCATATTCAATAAATAAATTCTTGTCAAGATAAATATTAAATTACATGATCCAATCTCTTTGATTTATATTGCGTTTGTATTATTTATAAATAATATAACATTTATAATCTATTGATATGATCGAGAGCTACTTTTTTTGTTTAGCATGATAAATGACCTACTTAACTCAGTGGTTAGAGTATTGCTTTCATACGGCAGGAGTCATTGGTTCAAATCTAATAGTAGGTAAGGTATTGGTAGAACTTAGTAGATACCATTGATTCCGGTATCTAATAATTTTTTCTACTCACCATTTTTTTATTGTAATTTTCTATCTTTTTTCTATTTTTTGGCTGCACCAACTTGTTACGAGATCCTCTTGATAGGCTCTACGATAGCCTTGACTCGTGTCTTAGCTCGCCAGAGAGCTATATTTGCTTCAATTGTTTGTCTCTTGCCTTCATCCTTATTTAAGTTAGCTTCTTCTATTTTAAGAGTTTGTTGTGCTTCTTGTGGATTAATGTCACTAGCCCTTTCTGCATCAGGTACTAAAATAGTGATCTCATTATTGCCGATTCTAGCCAAAACCACTCATCAGAGCCATCGTTAACCATCGGCCCTTAAGGTGTATTCTCAAAATACCTATATTTAAAGTTGTGGCATAGGAACATGATTTTTTAAATACCCCAATTTGTCCACTATTAGTAGATAAAATAATTTCTTTCACTTCTGAATCCCAAATAATTCGATTGGGGGTCAGTACACAAAGATGGAAAGTCATTTCTTGAATTTTTTCTCCATTTCTAAGTTAAGTTCGTAGCCTTCGTAGTAGCTTCATCGATATTACCCACCAAATAAAAGGCTTGTTCAGGAAGACTATCTAATTCTCCAGAAAGAATCAATTGAAATCCTTTAATTGTTTCTACGGGACCAACATATTTCCCTGGGGAACCAGTAAATACTTCTGCTATGAAAAAAGGTTGTGATAAGAAACGTTCCATTTTTTGTGCTCTTACTACGGTTAAGCGATCCTCTTCAGATACTTCGTCCAACCCAAGAATATATATCATGTCTTGAAGTTCTTTGTAACGTTGTAACGTTTGTTTAACTCTTTGCGCCGTTTCATAATGTTCTTCACCGACGATCCGAGGTTGGAGCATGGTGGACGTTGAATCTAAAGGATCTACTGCTGGATAGATACCTTTGGCAGCTAATCCTCTTGATAGTACAGTAGTTGCATCCAAATGTGCAAATGTCGTGGCAGGAGCAGGATCGGTCAAATCGTCTGCATGTACATAAACTACTTGAATAGAAGTTATTGACCCTTCTTTGGTAGAAGTAATTCTTTCTTGTAAAGTACCCATTTCAGTACCCAGGGTGGGTTGATAACCCACAGCGGAAGGCATTTGGCTCAATAAGGCCGATACTTCGGATCCGGCTTGGACAAAACGGAAGATATTGTCGATAAATAGAAGGACGTCCTGCTCATTGATATCTCAGAAATATTCTACCATAGTTAGGGCAGTTAAACCAACTCTCATACGAACTCCGGGGTTCATTCATTTGACCATCGACTAAAGCTACTTTTGATTCCGCAATGTTTTTTTCATTAATTACTCCGGATTCTTTCATTTCCATATAAAGATCATTTCCCTCACGAGTACGCTAACCTAATCCGCCAAATACAGATACACCTCCATGAGTTTTGGCAATGTTATTGATCAATTCCATAATGAGTACTATTTTACCTACCCCAACTCCACCGAAAAGTCCTATTTTTCTGCCACGACGATAAGGAGCTAAAATATCGACTACTTTAATTCTTGTTTCAAAAATTGATAATTGTGTATCTAACTGTATAAAGGCAGGCGCAAATCTATGAATAAGAGATGTTGTGCGAGTATCTACAGGACCCAAATTATCTATGGGTTCTCCAAGCACGTTGAAAATTCGACCTAGGGTTGCTCCGCCGACTGGAACACTTAGAGCAGCTCTTGTGTCAATCACTTCCATTCCTCTCTTTAGACCATCTGTAGCACTCATAGCTACAGCTCTAGCTCAATTATTTCCTAATAATCGTTGTACTTCACAAGTTACGCGAATTTGTTGGCCAACCGTATCTCAACCTTGAACTATCAGTGCGTTGTAAATATAAGGCATCTTCCCTGGTGGAAAAACTATATCAAGTACCAGACCGATTATTTGCGTAATACGCCCCAGATTTTTGTTTTCAAGTGCAGAAACCTCATTATCAGAAGGGGGAGGATTTATTTTCATATTGAAAAACATCCTTTTTTTTGAAAAAAATCAAATTAAGAAAAAAATGTTCGAAAACAATGCAAGTGGATTGGTTCATTTTTTGAATATTTAATAACAAATGAAATGTATTAATTCATATTTAATAAAATATTTAATATTTAATAATAAAAAAATATGGAATAATAAATGTAATTTAATAATAGATTTTCTTGCTACCATACAATCAATTCAATTGTTTTCAAATTTCAATGATTGAATTTTTAAGGTCATCCAGGTTGTAGACAATACTATCTATATTATCTATGGAATTTCAACCTGAACTTTGTTTATGATTTTGTTTTTCTATCTCATTGGTCCTTAATTTTTATTTCCTCAGCATAGGATTTATACTGAGCATATTATTTCTTTTTACCGATTTTTCTTTTTATTGGGCAAATTCTGCCGATTTTGACATCTAGGATTTACACATACAACATATATCACTGTCAAGGTCAAGAGTATATTTTTTATTTACTATTTAGATTCGAAAATTATATTCCAAAATTCAAAATAAAATAAAATAAGAGACTCGGAAAAAACGGTTGGGTTGCGCCATACATATGAAAGAGTATAGAATAATCATGTATTTGCCAAATCAAATATCATGGTAAAATTTAACTATGACCCATTCGAATTAATTGATAATATTAGTTGATGGATCATTTGTAAAAAGTTTTTATTAACTCTTAAGTTATGTCGAGTAGACCTTGTTGTTGCTATAATTCAATTCTTAATTCATGCGTTGTAGGGGGATTTATGTCACCACAAATAGAAACTAAAGCAAAGGTTGGGTTCAAAGCTGGTGTTAAAGATTATAAATTGACTTATTATACTTCTGACTATCAAACCAAAGATACTGATATCTTGGCAGCATTCCGAGTAACTCCTCAACCTGGAGTTCCGCCTGAAGAAGCAGGTGCAGCGGTAGCTGCAGAATCCTCCACTGGTACATGGACAACTGTGTGGACCGATGGACTTACCAGCCTTGATCGTTATAAAGGACGCTGCTACGAGATCGAGCCTGTTCTTGGAGAAGATAATCAATTTATTGCTTATGTAGCTTATCCCTTAGACTTTTTTGAAGAATGTTTTGTTACTAACATGTTTACCTCCATTGTAGGTAATGTATTTGGGTTCAAGGCCTTGTGCGCTATACGTCTGGAAGATTTGCGAATCCCTAATGCTTATGTTAAAACTTTCCAAGATCCTCCTCACAGAATCCAAGTTGAGAGAGATAAATTAAACAAGTATGGACGTTCCCTATTGGGATGTACTATAAAACCCAAATTGGGTTTATCAGCTAAGAATTATGGTAGAGAAGTTTATGAATGTCTCTGCAGGGGACTTGATTTTACCAAAGATGATGAAAATGTGAACTCCCAACCATTTATGCGTTGGAGAGACCGTTTCTTATTTTGTTCCGAAGCAATTTATAAATCACAGGCCGAAACAGGGGAAATCAAAGGACATTATTTGAATGCTACTGCGGGTACATGTGAAGAAATGCTAAAAAGAGTTGTATTTGCTATAGAATTGGGCGTTCCTATCGTAATGCATGACTACTTAACAGGTGGATTCACTGTAAACACTACCCTGTCTCACTATTTTCGCGATAATGGTCTACTTCTTCATATCCACCGTGCAATGCATGCAGTTATCGATAGACAAAAAAATCATGGTATGCACTTTCGTGTATTAGCTAAAGCCTTACGTTTGTCTGGTGGAGATCATATTCACACCGGTACTGTATTAGGTAAACTTGAAGGAGAAAGGGAGATTACTTTAGATTTTGTTGATTTACTACGTGATGATTATATTGAAAAAGATCGAAGGTGCGGTATTTATTTCACTCAGAATTGGGTTTCTTTACCAAGTGTTATCCCTGTTGCTTCAGGGGGTATTCACGTTTGGCATATGCCTGCTCTGACCGGGATATTTGGAGATGATTCTGTACTCCAATTCGGTGGAGGAACTTTAGAACACCCTTGGGGAAATGCACTTGGTGCTGTAGCGAATCGAGTAGCTCTAGAAGCATGTGTACAAGCTCGGAATGAGGGACGTGATATTGCTCGCGGTGGTAATGCAATTATCCGTCAAGCTTGCAAATGGAGTCCTGAATTAGCTGTTGCTTGTGAAGTCGGGAAGGAAATCAAATTTGAATTCCCAGTAATGGATACTTTGTAATTCAGTAATAATAATTCGTTCTATTAATTTCCATTAAACTCGGCCCAATCTTTTACTAAAAGGATTGAGCCGAATACTGTACAGAATACTTGTTGTATCTATAAATGAATCCAATGGATCTTTCGGATTGATAGATTTTTTCTAGTTCATTATTCTTTTTTGATTTGGAATATAATGAATTAAAATAGAAGTATTTTCTATTAATATTGACAACAGTGTATCAAACCAATATAATCCTATCGTGAATAAATGGATTGATTGACTCATGTCAGATAGGTTTTTTACTTCATCAAATGGTGAATTCGTTGTATTTTTTTTCATTGTAATTTAATGTCATTCATTGTAATTTAATGTAATATGTAACATTTGATTTTATTATTTATAGAATTTCATCTTTTTTTATTCCGATTGGATATAGACATCCTTGTTTGTAATTGGATTAGGGTTGCTAACTCAATGGTAGAGTACTCGGCTTTTAAGTGAGACTCCATTTTTTACACATTTCTATGAACTAATTGGTTCATCCCTACCATCGGTAGGGTTTGTAAGACCACGACTGATCCAGCAAGGAATGAATGGAAAAAGCAGCATGTCGTATCAACGGTGAATTCTAAAAAAATTTCATTCATATTTGATCCGACCAATATTTTTCTTTGAATTGTTGGCTCGGAACAAATGAATTCCGTTGGGTTTAATTAATAAAGGGATAGAGCTTAGCTGCTCCAACTATAGGGAAACAAAAAGCAACGAGCTTTTATTTTTGATTTGAATGATTACCACATCTAATTATACGTTAAAAAAGAATTAGTGTTTGCTGTGGAAAAAGTTTTTCCTACTAATAGATTAACGATTTTTGTTATGAGTCTTATTTATTAGCTATTCCCCATTATTTTATGGGGTACCAAGAAATGTGTAGAAGAAAGAGTATATTGATAAAGATCTTTTTTTTTTTCCAAAATCAAAAGAGCGATTGGCCCATAAAATAAAGGATTTCTAACTAGCTTGTTTGTCCTAGAAAAATGAGAAGGAACAACCGAGGGGAGATAGTCCATTAATGAGTTTTAACTCGTTTCGTAGGTATCACTTCATATTTGTTTTTTTTTATTTCAATTCGAATATAGATTTAGAATACCTTGTTTTGACTGTATCGTACTATGTATCATTTCATAATCCAATGAATCTTTGACCAAATAGAATTTAGAAATAAGGAATATCAAGTATATTTAGAACGAGTTAGATCTCGCCAACAGGACTTCCTATACCCACTTCTTTTTAGGGAGTATATTTATGGACTTGCTTATAGTCATAATTTGAATAGATCCATTTTTTTGGAAAATGTAGGTTATGACAATAAATATAGTTTACTAATTGTAAAATGTTAATTACTCGAATGTAATAACAGAACCATTTAATCATTTCGGCTAATGATTCTAACAAAAATCGATTTTGAGGATATAATAAGAATTTGGATTCTCGCATCTCTGAAATTTTCTAGGGTGAATTTGAAGATGCATCTCCGAAAACAACACTGAAGTCATTTACACTGTTTTTCATTGAAATTGTATTGTTTTTGAGAACTCTATGTCAATTTTAACCAATATTAGAGTCATAAGACATACCTTAAAAAAAACGTTTTTTAAAAAATCGACTCTGAATCAAAATTTACCACCCTAAAAACCTTAAATTCTTTCTTCTTTTTTATTTGATTGAATTTTTATTTTCATAATTTTGAAAAAATCTATAAAAAAAAAATTGTAGAATCTTAATTTGACTTAAGTTAATTTTCAGTTGTATTTTCAAATTTTTAGAATTTTATGTTAATCATTTTTCTATTTTTTCCGTAAAAACATTGTTGGTATTTATATATTTGTTGCATTATTGATGCATGATTATTAAATCTGTCTACGCGGATCCACCCCATACTAAAGATTATTGAATAAAACAAGTTTTAAATATTTAGAGTAGTAAATTCTCTTCTTTTTTTTTACGATTATTGAATCAAATTTTTGTAAGAATTAAATATGTATTATTACACTTAAATTAATTTTATGAAAGCTATTTTCTTTAAGTTTTTCTGTTAAGAAAAAAATTCTTAATATCTATAGTGGTAAACTGAGCATTTTATTATTTTAAAGTTTAGCTTTCATAGTTTTTAATTGACGTTAGTAATTTGTCAAAGATCATTGTTTTATCTTATATTGTTTTATAATTTATAATATTCCCTCCCTCTAATTCTATTTATACGAAGAAAAAAATTTAAATACATTAAATAATTAATTATTTGAAGAATATATAAATCAAATATTGTCTATTTAATAAATTTTAAAAAATCAAATATATATTGTTGGATTAATATGTCGTTATTTGCATTTAGTTAATAATTAGCAGAATAATAAATATTGTTAGTGGACTCCTAGTTTTAAGCTTTAGTTGTTAGAGTCATGGTCTTGATTGAGTCATGCCTATTTATTAGGAATAGCAGTTTCTACAACTTGCAGTTACTACATCTTATATATTTAAAAGGTTGTTTCAATTCAATAAAGATTATCTTGTTTTGCTCTCTCTCTCTCTCTCTCTCTCTCTCTCTCTCTCTCTCTCTCTCTCTCTCTCTCTCTCTCTCTCTCTCTCTCTCTCTCTCTCTCTCTCTCTCTCTCTCTCTATATATATATATATATATATATATATATATATATATATATATATATATATATATATATATATATATATATATATATATATATATATATATATATATAATGGAAGGTAGATCACAATGCCACCGCAAGAAATAAAGAATCATAAAATTTAATAATTTTAGGATATATAATTTATTTTTTAATTTAAAGAATGAAAAGTGTAATTATAATAAGATTATTTACTATACACTGATAGTATAATAATTAAAAATAAAAGTCAAATTTCTTTTTACATTCAATGGTTATCATTAACCTAGTATAAAAAAAAATTACAAACATTTCAATTAAATTATTTATAATTACAATCTTTTAAGCAAAAAGTGTAACTTTATTTTAATATTAATTGTATAAGAAATGAAAAAAAGAAGTTATATAACTCAATCATTTAATGTCTTTGAAATTGTGTTTAATTCTCTTTATAACTTTCATTTTTGGAATTTTTTTTTTATCCTTTTAATTGTCAATTACAAAGTTTAAGATAGAATTAAATATATTTTTGTCAAAATTATCCTTAAATAATTATGATAGAGAGAAAAAAAAACATAAATATAATAAATAATTAAACATATTATAATTATAATTATAATTATTGTATAAAAAATAATAATATTTATTAACTTTTTTGATATATGTAAAAAATCAAAAAATGATATTTACCGACTCTAAAAGTTAAAATCCATTAATTTGAGATCACGGGTTGATTTATAGGAGAAATTAAATGTAGAGTAAAATAAAATGTCGTAAATTGTTATGCCTCGATACTATGATTTGAATTTGAATTCAATTTTTAATTAAAACTAATTGCTCATTTGAGAATTAAAAATATGTTTGTTGAAATCTATAAAAGAAAAAATGTGATTCCCGAAGCCCAAATAGAAATTTATGATTTTAGATTGTCGTATACATCTATTTCAGACTATGATATTATCGAATTTCATACTATATCAAATTAAGAGCATACGTATAACTATAAGAGAACAACATCATTCTATATCACAATAGAATACATTGCATAATTTCTTAATATTTAAACAAAATGCACATATTATTACGAGATTTTACTTGTTTTGTTTTTATTGTGTGATGGCTCCTTTTACATTAAATGTTTATTTTGTACCATCATTTTTAGTGATTCATGAGAAATCCCAGAAACAATCATATAGTGAACATGTAAAAGCACAAATTGCAACCAATTCATGTTCATGAATAATAATCCAAAAAAAAAGAAATGAAAATTGAAGTACAAATGCATGGTAAAACACAACTAATTCAAACTACTTAAACAAAGGGACAAACCAAACAAGTAGCAATAATTTAAGCAAACAAACCAACCAACAAAAAACTAATAACCCAAACAAAACATGTCCTAATGAAAAATAGAATAGTAATAATAACCCTCATCAAAACTCATTAGCTTTGTCCCTTTTCTGTTCATATGCTTTTTCAAATTTTGGTTATGGTTTTGATCGATCCTTTCATTCCTCACTTAGCCATCATGACTTTGACAAACTCCTCATAGTTGATCTGACCATCACCATCAACATCAGCTTCGCGAATCATCTCGTCAACCTCTTCATCAGTCAGCTTCTCGCCGAGATTTGTCATAACATGACGGAGCTCAGCTGCAGAGATGAAACCGTTCTGATCCTTGTCAAACACACGGAAAGCTTCCTTAAGCTCTTCCTCGGAATCAGTATCCTTCATCTTGCGGGCCATCAGGTTGAGGAATTCAGGGAAATCAATGGTACCGTTTCCATCAGCATCAACCTCGTTTATCATGTCCTGCAACTCCGCCTCAGTTGGGTTCTGACCAAGTGATCGCATAACAGTTCCGAGCTCCTTGGTAGTAATGCAACCTGTAGCATTTTATAACAAACAGTTAAAACACAAACAAGTGATCCAACTCCACAAAGTAATAGCATGCGATGAACCAGTTTAGAAAACATTGACCAATGTTCTCAAACAGCAGAAATACAGCACTGTAACCTATTTCCTGCTATCTTATTTCAATCAAGCATTAGTAACCCAAAAACAACAAAACTTATGTGATCCTGGCAGGAATGTACACATGAAAAATAGATATAAACATAAAATCAATAAAGGTTAACTTATTAATAAAATACTACAAAGTACAAACACCCAGAACATGACACCGACAAGACACAAACACCCAAAACATGACACTGACAGGGACACAGACACAGGGACACCTCTAATAATTTGAAATTTTGAATAACCTAAACATAATCACAAGCAAATGGACACACCTTTTTTCAAAAATAGGTGCAACAGAGATAAAATATAACCAAATACAGATCAACAATGGTAATCAATAAGATCAGTTAAACACAACATTTAATTGAATACTAAAAAGATCAAATAAAAAACGCCATTACAAACATGTTACCATCTAATTGTGATGTAATTTTCAAATCAGATAATTCACAAAAACAGAACAAAAAAGCACAACACAAAAGATAAAGGGGTAAATCAAATATCAAGCTATTCAGAAATTCATGCAATAGTAATGTTCATTTCAACACAAACAATTGTAATCGCCAAATCAAATCTCATCTCAAAATTAAAAAATTCATACTCATTCCCAATACATCAAACAATCAATCCACACGCGCGCAAACACGGGAAGGATCAAATCAAACCTAGTTTAACGAAAGGGCAAAACGGTAAATAAAAAAAAACGTTAAAAAAAACGCAAATCAAAACAAACAAATATAAGTCAAACCAGAAAAACCCTAAAAACGTTTCAATTCGTATGAAAATTGAATCAATAGGTATCATAAAAATTGAAAAACCTAAAAACGCTAAAAGTGAAATTCAGATCTAAGAAAAAAAAGTAAAATAATGGATCTGAGAAACGGTACCATCTCCATCCTTGTCGAATAGACTGAAAGCTTCCTTGAACTCAGAGATCTGTTCGTCGGTGAGTTGATCGGCCATTGGAAGAAGATTCGATTCCTAGAAAGGGGAAAGAGAGAGGAGAAGAAGAGAATGATGTGTGTGATGTGGAAAATGTAAGAAGAAGAGAAAAAGAAGGATTTGGGTATTTATATATATACTCTTATTATAGTTATTGTTTTTCTATGGCTATCTCTTCCTCTCCTTTTTCTTTTTCTAGAATATTATACCTTAATTAAATTATATAGTAATCATATTTTTTCATTATATTTTTATATAAACTTAAAGATGGATAGTGATTAGCTTCTTTCTCATTGGATCACTATTGAGATAAAAAAATATATATATGTATTTTTAATTTGATTTTTCGGTAATAATTTAAACTTAAATCTTTTATTTGAATTTATTTGATTTAATGTAATTTATTTTGGATCTAGCAAAACGGGTTAGGCTCGTCGCATTCGTCTGTTTAATCCACCATTTTTGACAGATTGAGACGAGATTTTCGGCTCGATATTTTAAGTTTATCTGCCCTGCCTAACCCATTTTTTAAAACAGGGTGGGGCGGGTTTTCCAGAGACATTTTTGTTAAAAAAAATTATTATTTTTATTTGAAATTAAAACAATATTAACGTTGCTTATAATAGACATAATTTTAAAACAAATCTCATTTCTTCGAATCCTCATGCTCATTTTTCACCTAACCAAAAACACTTCATTTTGAAGACATTAATTGATCTCTGCTTCTTTATTTATTTTCACTCATAATGAAAAAGTTTTCATTTCTCATTATGATAATAAAATTTTGATTTGTATTTTATTTTATTTGAGTTTTTATTTTATTTATTTCTTAACACTTAAATGATGCGATTATTATTTGTATTGATAATTTTTAAATATTGAAGCTTTTATTTTTATTGGAATGATTTATTTTTGGGATGCTTCCATTATTAAATATTGATAAATCTACTTAGATGTCATTATATTAGCTTGTGTTACTTTGTTTTTTTTATTTGTGTTCTTAGATGTCCTTAACTAGGTTGTGTCAGTTGATTTTTTGAACTAAAAAGATTATTTTGAGATAAACCAACTTTTAGAATGCAGTATTATATTTTTTTTAGAGAAATTTGTCGCTTATTTTGATCATCTTTGACTCGACTCAAGAGCGGTAATTGTGCAGTTTATACGAGAAAAAACAGATATATATTTTATGACAATTAATGTGTCAATTTCTAATCATTTTATGTATTTGTTAGGAAATTTGTTTGAATCTTAGTATAATTATAGAATAAGTTTTGGGTCTCGCTTTTGGATTATAAATATCTCTATGAAGGTAATAGGTTATTCACTAAAAAAAGTGGTTCTCAAAACATCATATTGTTTAGAATATTCAAAATATCACTCCTCAACTTATGGGATTAAAGATCAATCACCTATGGATTGGTGCTAAAAATATCATTGTTGACTTAAATTTTTTGATGTCTTCAAAAAATTATTACTTTGATCTATAGATTGCAACAAATTTTTGTTACTTTTGTTAAAGGTTGTTGGTTGTGGAGGTGAATATATTACCAAAAATGAGTTTTATTGGTTATTATATATCCATCATAAATATGGTTTTGAAAATAATTGGAATTGGATATGAAAGTTACCTCTTGTAGCAAGCGTTTAATTTTTTATTTGGCATATTTGTCATAACTCATTTTCAGCCATGGTTGTCTTGTAACTTCAACATATTAATATTTCTCATACATGTCCTTAATGTTTTAGAAATGTGGAAACTATTACTAATTGCTTGTTGATTTTCCTGTGAGTTGTGTTTTTTGGGCATGAGTGTGGCTTTCTAAATATCCATACAACGTTTCTTGAAGTTGATAGTGTGAACTTCATAAATTCTATACAAAATATGATTATTGAGGTAGGTACTTTAGCCTCTTTGATTATGTGGAACATGTGGTGCACAATAAAAAAAACTTGTATTTACAAAACACAGTTGTCCACTATGTCTATGATTACTTAAGTTTTTCATAGCTTCACATATTCCATTGTTATACCCTAATTTTTACCCCTAAGATCCCATCATCTTTTTTGCATTTTTGCATACAAACAAGATCACAAACTTGGTTCTCCTTTAGTCCTCTCATCTTTGTGTTTGCTTTTGGGATCACCAAGCACCTTTTTGTGTACCTTTTCCCTTTATGTTTATATGTTTTATGTTTCACTAACCACTAATCAAAATCCCAAAAATATGTCTTGTATCCTTTTGTTTCTTTGCAATATATGGTGTTATATCAAGAACATCAAGCATGATTCATCGGCTAGGGTTTTACTCCCTCAAGGTTAAAGTGTGGTCAACCATTGTTTCTCAAAGGGGCTATCTCATCAAACCATGGCTTCTAATATCAAAGTAAAAGGTTTCAAGCTTCATTCAATTTCGTTTTGATCAAAGATGTAATAAGGTTTAGTAGCTTGTCTCTCAAGAAAAGTCAACGGTTCATGTGTTTATTTTCATGCCTTCATCAATAAGTTACCTCAAGCTTTGGTCAATTTAATCAAAGAAAATTCAAGGAAACATTATCTTGAGTTCATATGATGATCCATGTGCTTTGAAATGCAAGGAAAGTCCAAGTTTACAAATTGATTCAAGGAAGTTTGACCTAAAAAGTTAACATTTCAAGTAAAAGTTCCAAAGATCACAACTCCTTTAATTCTCAATATTTTTTAATGCTTCTTTTTGCATATGACTCTTCTCAACGTCCTATTAAACTTCTCTTTACATGATAAGAATCAATTATGCTTGGAGGATCATCAAAAGTTTGAAGATATTATAGGTCATTTGTGTACTTAGTGAAATTTTGCCTATTTTCAAGTGACTTTTTCTCAACTTTCAAGAATCACAACTTCTACAATTTCCAACATATGGAACTCATTCTTTTTTCAAAATATCACTTTTGATACTCTATAAAAGACTGCTTCAATGGTCAAAGTCAAATTGTGCTTGGAAGGCCATGGAATTCATTGATACATTATAGGTCATTTTCAGCCATTTGGATTTAGAAATTTTCAAGTTTGGTTTTCCAGATATTTGTGCCAACTTCAACAGGCCATAAATTTTTTTCTCAAGCATTCATATAAACCTTTCTTAGCGCACTGTGATCTTTGCCACAGTGTTAACAAATTGCAAAAAGAATAGAATCAAAAAGCCCCTTGTGCAAGGTGTCCTATTGATACAAACATGGTTACTTGGAACTAAAGATTGGCATCATGATCAGATTTTTATCTCAAGTAATCTTCAATTACAAGCCAAATTATCACGTGTTTTCCATCTAAACATGATTAACCAAGTTTCCTGAAGTTAAATGACTCACAAAACGCATGGTTTGGATGAGTTTTGATGCATTTCAAGTCAAACTTTTACCATGATGAGGGTGAACACGATTAAACTGAATTTTCACTTAATTCACCCCTCTCATCATTCCATCATCTTTAGCTATGAATATAGGACCTCACTACCTTTATTTCCAAGATTTTAAGAGCCAAAAAAACCTTGCTCCGCCTTTAAATTTTCTATAAAAAAGTGAGCTATCGTGTTTTGATTTTCAGCAACTTTCAACTCAATTTCTTGATTCGGTTAGCTTCACTGTGTTCCTCTGAAGCTTCTGTAACAATTCTCAAGCTCTAAGAGTCCCTGAAACGTGTTGACCAAATCTAATTTCATAGCTCCTCATATCATTTTTGGACAAGGTAGTTTGAAGCTCCATTTTCAATTAAACAAGTTACCACAATATAGTCCTTTATTTACTTAATGTTTCCCCTAACCTAGCTGGTGTTGATTGTTCTTGCTCATTGTTGCACCCCCAAAATTTGCCCAACCTTTTCTTAAATTGGTTTATTTTCCATTTCAACTTCATTCGGTTTCATTTTTGCATTGCATAGCATTTGTTCTCAAAGCAGGGGGTCAAGGCTTCCCGTGTCTCAGGTTTCATTCCAGTGCAAGCAACTAAACCGCAAGCAGCAACAGTTGACATTTATTTTGCCCGATCGAGCGGTCGATTTTATTTTATTGTGCAAGTTAATTTCCAGCGTTCAGACTACTTCGAGCAGTTTCACAGTAAGGATGATCGAAAACGAGTTCCAGAGGCTTAAAGATGTCCAAACAGTTGAAAACGGGCAAATGGGCATGTTTCCCTCCAAAAGGAGCCAAATTCAAATTTTTGAAGGTGTTAATCGGTTAACACATATGGTTAACCGATTAACACAATCAAAATCAGGCTAATTTTGCAGGTTTTGACAGTGTTAACCGGTTAACCATATGCGTTAACCGATTAACCTGTGTATTTTTTCCCTGTACGTGAATTTTCAAGTCCAGCCACTCTTGGAGTCCCATTTTGATCACTTGAATTTCATTTTTACACTTGGAAGGATCTAGAACCCCATTTGAAATTTGTTTAATTTTAATTTCCCACCAAATGCCCATTCCACATTCCATACCATGTTTTCCAATCCAAATTTCAAACCTTGCATTGGATCCAAACCTAAGTGATATCAAATGATTCACTCCAAACCTCACCATCTAATCTCTCATAATTCAATTCATTTTTCAGAATTCACTCTAATTCCCTCTCAATTATCTCAACTTCTCCATTTCCAAAACCCTCACTCAAAGCTCTTCATCATTTGGATTCATTGATTTTTCATTGAAATCAATGGATTTTTGAGCATAAACCTCTATTTAACATCACCATTGGATCAATTTTCATAATCAATTTTCGTGCAAATTGAGATCTGATTTTGGAGCTTGAGTTGGAAGTGCTTATTTTGAGTAATTTGGCTTAAAGGTGTTTGATCTTCACTCCTCTTGCAAGAATTATTGTGGATCTTGAAGTTTTCCGGATAATCTTGTTTGGATCTGCTCAAATTCAGTTGATCAACATTTACCGAAGAAAATCTCTGCTTCGAAGGTTGGGATTCTCGATCCGATTTAATTTTTGAGCTTATCATGTTGATTTTCATATTTGATTGAATTTTGGTTGATTTTGATT